CATTTTTCTGCATAGTTACATACTCATCTTCCACTGGCCTAGTGATGTCTTCGATTTTATCACTCACAGTTTTATCAACAACCGACAATTCTTCAGTCCTCACAATAGTCGCTTCGTCCGTAATTACCTTGTCTGATGGGAGTTCTTCAGCATGTTCGTCCTGTGATCCCAAAATTGCTATACTTTCCGTCTTTGCCACTTCCTTCACTTTCGCCGCTATTAATGTCTCTTCCACAGAGTCGACTTCTTTCGCCACTTGAGAGTTTTCCTCCGTTGAAACAGTTACTTTTGATAGTATAACACCTGGTAAGTTTTCACACGAGTTATCAGTTTTATCTCCTTCAGAGACAACTGAATCAGTTATTTCCCCATCTAAGGACATTTTCTGATCAGAACTAGCCACTTCGGGCTCCACCTGAATTTCCTCTAAATGCTCCTGAGCAATTTGTTCATTCGTGATCTCGACAATACCATCTTCTCGATCAACTTTCGGCTCTTGAACTACTGGATTTTCATCTTCTGCCTCTTCCACTACTGCAGGAATGTCCACGATTTCAGTGTTTTGCAAATCATCAGTCACTTCCTCGATGTTCTTTAGTTTGCCTTCAACGGTTGTTTTCAGGTCTTCAGTTCTTCAGAGTTAAATCTCTTCTGCACCCGGTCGTTGCTGTCACCTCACTTCCCCCCTGTGATTCTCCTCCCCGCTTATATAAATTCCTCCAGGTAACCTAGATGCTTCTCGAACTCTCCTGAACAGGTGCGAAACTTCAAACCTGGATGAATTACGCATGGAAAACACAATTGCGCCCACACGATGCATACTCTCCCTATTGCTTCTGTGGTTGACAAATGCTCAATTTTAGGGAGCGAAATCCATGAACTACTTATCGAACTAGTGGACGTGAACAATGCAAAAACCCACGCCCGATACTCCCACTTCAGTCTGGGCTCTGAACTGGAAGGCTACGCAATGAAAGTGCTGGGGAGTTTCAAAGGGGACGCCGGGGACTCGCTCAGCTACCACGCAGGGATGAAGTTCAGCACCAGGGACAAAGACCAGGATTCCTGGACGGAAGGAAGTTGCGCCCAGACGCACGGTACGACTGGCCATTTTCTGCGCCCAGTTGAAGCACACTTGGCATGTTGCAGGGGGCGCGTGGTGGTACAAATCGTGCGACAGAAGCAACTTAAATGGGCGCTACCTGCCAGGGGAACAGCCCGAGCAGTTCATGTACCAGCCGATGTATTGGGAAACAATCGGCGGGCCGAAGACTGGATTGTTGGTGTCCAGAATGTTCATCCGTCCCAGACAGTGAATAACGCTTGCAATAAAAAGCTTGAAAATTCACACTTACCTTTTGCCTCCTCCTACTGGCCTGCCAAGCTTTGGATGTAGTTGATTCTTGATATCTTCTCCCCTAGTTGCGCAATCTAAAATCAACAGGTTTTCAACAAAATCCACGCAAGGTTTTTAAGCCAACCGACCTTTCTGGCGTCGCTTTGCTTCGCTTCCATGGGGGCTTTTTCCCTATACCCACTAGTGGAGACCTTCTGCTGCAGCTTCCCCAGCTCCTTCAGCAGCTTCTCCTTCTTCTGCTCTGTACGGTTTCGGTCCACTTCAAGCGCCAGGCGCAGCTCCTCGGGCACGACCAGGTATAGAACATTGCGCCCTATTCGGTCCTCAACCAGGCCCTTAGTTGGAGGTTTCATTGCGGCGCTTTTCAAAATAGTCAGGCTATGAAGACTGGACAGGTCTTTGATTAGTGGCTGGAATTTTCTTGCACCGTCCCCATTGGCCGGCAGCAGGAACGCTGAAAGAACGATTGGGCTTTTTCAGGCAAAACGGGGCAGAAGCGCCGCTTTCCTACCTTCAGGCAGGTGCTTGTAGACTATGTTGAAAACCTTCTTCAGCCGCCTGATGCCGGTGATTATCCGCAGGGCTTCATCGACTTCTGCTTCGAGCTGACGGTCTCTAATCTGCAGTTGGGTTCGATTTGATCGGGGGGCAAAAGGGCATTGGACCAAGGGCGGATCCAAGGGTGGGTCATGGGGGTCACCCCCCATTTAATTCTCTATCCAACGATGCCAAAACGAATTCTGTGACTAGAATGGTTCTTGAGAAACTTCGAAAAAAGCAGCGTCATGTTCAAATGGAGTTTGCAACTCAAAGAAAACCACGCAAATCTAAAACTTCTTGAATTCAAGCATTTTTTGAGGAAACTGCCAACATTTTTCCATCCATGGCTCACTTTCTAAAAAGGCTATTTATTTCTGTCTAGAATGATGTACAAATGAGCGTTCTTGCTCATTTTGCCTCCGAGAAATGAGCAAAAACGGGACGGAAAACATGAAATTTTG